GTTCTGGAACCTCGTAGCTTTTAGGCGGGGTTGAAGGACGGTGGACGAATGGGAGGGACTGGTGGGGGTAAGACCTCGAAACCACAGCTTCTCTTTGTATGGACCAATGCTTCGATGATGTATTCGGGCGGATGGGACCTTGACTGCTTCACCAGATCCGCTGAAGGATTAGGCTACTTGGGATTGTAATTGGGTGGCTTTCTAGCTTCACACGCAAACTGCGTGACGTAAATATTGACAAGTTTATGACCATGTCCGACTGGCGTGGCATGCATTGTCCTGTCGATCAAGCAGAATTTGCAAAATCTGCATTCGCCATTTCTGGGCTGGAGATTCGGTGTCAGCCGGGAAGGAATGGAGAAATTGGACATTGGAAACATCAACTCGAATTGCTGATCCGAGTTTGCCTCGTCATTGTCATGATGAATATGGAACTGCGGTTCGGTATTAGATCACCGAGATCATGTTTGGTTGACCACCCCACAAGATGATGTCGAAGCTCCACCAATTCAACTGCGATCATGATTTCCAACTAAGATTACTCAAATTGAGTGTAATATGAATGATATTGCTGGGGAGCACGTTTCAACAATGCGCAAACCCTTGCATTGAACGAGAATGATTGAGAAATGGTTGTCGTCGGCAATGCAACCGCGGCGGCGCAATGGTTCATATGATTGGGCCCAGCTTCGTGGCTTTGGAGATTTGGTCCAAGAGCATCAGCGGAAGTTAGCCCGGAACATCCACAGCTATGGGCTATGGCGGGCCTTCCAGCCAACCGTGATGCTCACGATATCCAAGTATGCGGGGAAGATGGGGTCGCACGAGAATCAGAGTCAGTGTATTTGCTAAGAAGTGAGAGCGATGAGCCCGATCAATGGTCTCCAAGGGACAGGCCGTCCCGCATGTTCCCGTCGAGTGCCCCGAAGCATCGGCTGTGGTAGGAATAGCTCTCGGCACAGAGGAGAGGCTTAGGAGGGAGGGCATCATATAAGTCGGCTGCCCCTCCCCCCATGTTGATGTTTCTGATTTTTGAATCCTGACAATTCCTTACACTCTCGTCATTACCGACATCATCGCTGGGTCGCCTGTCTAACTGCCAAAAGTGTGTAAGTCGCATCACTCTCCACTGTCACCTACCGAGCCCAATCCCATCCACTGTATTTGCTCTTCAACGGCGCCGCTGTGTCGGCGCCCCCACTTTACCACCGAGCAGACGCTCAACAACGTCAGAGAGCTCCCGCTAGCTACCTCGAGTGAGCTTGCTGGGGGAGCGATTTTCTGGACAAAGTCTTGGTCTGACGAGCATGTGTGAACCGGGCTGTCCTATAGCGGAGACGAGGTGGGCAACATGATAGAGTCAAGAGCCGTGAGAGGAAGAGACAGTAGCGCAGAGGCCGAGAGAAGGTCAGAGAAGCCATATCGGCCGCGGAGCCACCGGAGAGCCACCGGGAATCGGAGCAGCCGTAAGGGACCTGAGACTCGAGAGCCTGAAATGGGTTGAGGTGTGCGGTGAACAAGATTGAGCGTTTCCTGATGAGGCGACAATCTCAATCGTCTCACTGGATGGCGCGGTGAATCGTCCAACAGTCTCAGCCCATTCAACAGTTCTAAAGCCTCACGGAACTCAATTCACGGCCCGTCAGTATCAGACGATTCGCGACGTATCTCCGTTGTCGCCAATCGAGGAGCAGCATGCTGCAAGATGCATTAGACGAGCGTTCCTGGCGAGATGAGAAAAAGATCCGCGGTCTTATCATGGCCTCTCTTTATGCCTCACCGACACAGCTGTTGGATGTTGTAAACAGCTCATGGCCTCAATCTGATGAACTCATTCTGGCCCGCACAGAGCATCTCTCGGCAAGAGCGTCAGAATTGCCCCTCCCTGCCCCTCCAAAACGCCGTAACTGCCACTGTACCCCTTGCCGTGTCCTTCTAATTACCCTTACGCAGCTCTGTTATTTTTTTTGGCTTTATTTATCGATAAGGACCAGACAGAGTGGGATTGAAAACCCCGCTATAACCCCCCTCCTTCGTCATTGCTCTGCTCCTCTTCATTCATAACTGACAAACTTTCTTGCTCAATAGACTTTTTTTCTTCTGCATCTCTCATCCCAACCTACATTTTCTATCCAACCTAAGCTTCACAAACAGCAACAATGGGTGTCCAAGAAGTCCTTAGCCGCAAGACTGGTGTCATCGTCGGCGACGATGTCCTCCGTCTCTTCGAGTACGCTCGCGAGCACAAGTTCGCCATTCCCGCCATTGTATGTCTCAACCATCCAAAAACAACGCAAATCATCGCAACTAACATTAACCTCACAGAACGTCACCTCTTCCTCCACCGTCGTTGCTGCTCTCGAGGCCGCCCGCGACAACAAGGCTCCCGTCATCCTCCAGTTCTCTCAGGGTGGTGCCGCCTACTTCGCTGGCAAGGTATGTTCCCCAACAAATTTCTCAATCGCGTCAACATACTGACACATTCTTCAGGGTGTGAGCAACACCGACCAGGCCGCTTCCATTGCTGGCTCTATCGCCGCTGCCCACTACGTCCGCTCGCTCGCTCCCACCTACGGCATCCCCGTCGTCCTTCACACCGACCACTGCGCTAAGAAGCTCCTCCCTTGGCTCGATGGCATGCTCGATGCCGACGAGGCTTACTTCAAGGAGAAGGGCGAGCCCCTCTTCTCCTCTCACATGATCGATCTCTCTGAGGAGCCCGTCGAGTGGAACATTGAGACCACCGCCAAGTACCTCAAGCGCGCTGCCCCCATGAAGCAGTGGCTCGAGATGGAGATTGGTATCACCGGTGGTGAGGAGGATGGTGTCAACAATGAGGATGTTGACAACAACTCTCTCTACACCCAGCCCGAGGATATCCTCAACATCTACAACACTCTCTCCCCCATCTCCCCCTACTTCTCTATCGCCGCTGGCTTCGGTAACGTCCACGGTGTTTACAAGCCCGGCAACGTCAAGCTCCACCCCGAGCTTCTCGGCAAGCACCAGGCTCACGTCAAGGAGGCCCTCAAGTCCGACAACGACAAGCCCGTCTTCTTCGTCTTCCACGGTGGCTCCGGCTCCTCCAAGAAGGAGTACCTCGACGCCATTGGCTTCGGTGTTGTCAAGGTTAACGTCGACACTGACATGCAGTTCGCTTACTGCTCCGGTATCCGAGACTACATGATCAACAAGCGCGAGTACGTCAACACTACCGTCGGCAACCCCGATGGTGAGGACAAGCCCAACAAGAAGTACTTCGACGTAAGTTCTCACCGCATTACCGTATATGCATTATAATGTACTAACGCTATGTCATAGCCCCGTGTCTGGGTCCGTGAGGGTGAGAAGACCATGTCCAAGCGTGTTGCCGAGGCTCTCCAGGACTTCAACACTGCCAACCAGCTATAAATGTCGATAAATGACAATGACTGGTTCTAATGATATCCCAACTGCGGCAAAATTCATGAGTATCGTTTGGAAAAGAAAAAGAGGGATCTAGAAAATGCCCTCACCTTGGTTCCGACATAACATAGCAGTGTTTAGTTGCAGGGGCGTTACGAGGCGATGAAAGTAGTAAAATTAATGAAGAAAAAAAATTGACGACGTACAAACAGCTTGAGTGTTTGATACTACAATGGAAATATGTGACTCTAAAGTAAGACCTAAGGTACCTTCGGCCGATAAGATGATATAGGACTTTACATCAATGCGACTTCTGGATGTGGATGACTACCAGCTTAGAAAAACATGAAAATCATGTCATTAATCGTAGAACATATATAGCCTGTTAAGTATTATACAAACCAACCGTTTGAGTCTCCCGTGGTTCGTCGCGGAATGCCTCTTGTACCAGAGAACATTTGCCGAGCGTGTATTCTAACCCATGTCCATACCGCCTCTTTTGGTTTAACCTTGCACCTTTATACGCATGATCTTTGTGATTGTGCATCATGCAGCTCACAATCACCATTTCCTGTTCCTATATCTCATCTTGCTTTGGTATCTTATTTGGCGTGCCTATCGACCAAGAAGCTCCTTCTCCATCTGGGCCACAGCTTCCTCCGAGAGCTGCTGGGCAGCGCGAGCATCAGCCTTGGTCTTGTCGAATCGCCAGAGACCACCAGTCTTGTCGGCCTCTCCATCAGTAGGTACACCGACGACCAAGCCGAGCTGCTCGAGGACAGAGTCTTGACCCTCCACAGCGGTGAAGTACTGGCGGTCCCAAGTTCGACCCTCAGACTTCTCCTTGGTGCGCATGTTACGCTGGGCATTCTCAATCTTACCCTTCTCAGCACCTGTGGTGTCCATGTCACCCTTCTGGATAGCATCAGCAACGCGAGACCAGGCGCGCCGGGACTCGAGAGGGTGCTGTTGATCGATGGGGGCAACCTTGAGCTCAGTCTGAGCGGTGTTGACGGCGTCGTAGGTGCTCACAAGAGTCGACTTGGAGTTAGACTTGGCAGGTCCTGAGTAGATCTCGAGGGCCTTGTTCCACTGGCCAGTGACATTGTAAAGAACATCCTTCTCCTTGCCCGTAGGATAAACGCTGGCGACGATGGTGTTCTTCTTTCCTGAGAGCCATCCCTTGCCGCTATAGTCAATCTTGGCAGTGAAGCCACTGGAACTAGTGATGTGACTTGAGCCATCAAGCTCGACAAAAGGAGCACCAAAAATCAGACCCTCGATATGAAGACCAGGGAGGGTAATGAGGTAGGATTCGATCTCTCCAGATGGAAGAGGAATTCGTAGGACAGCGTGACCGATCTGCTTGACAATGATGGTGCTCTTGAAAGTGGCCTTCTGAGCATTGTAACCCTCAAGCTCGATACCAGTCTTGTCGTTGCGAATGCAGTAGGCGGTAGCAGGAGGATGGTGGCTGACCTGCTCTGAGACAAGGGTTGTCTCGCCAGCCTCGTCGGACCAGGTACCGAGGAAAAGCTCACCCAAGAAAGGGTTCAGAGGCTTCTTTTCGTTTCCAAACTGCTCACTTCGGCTGGCGTACTGGTGCTTCAGAGTCGAGAGGAACCACTTGAGGACGAGCATAGTACGCTTGGCGGGATCAGACTCGGCAGCTGGGGCGGTTAGGACGGGAGGGTGCGTGGCCCAGTATGCAGAGAATTCGGTGAGAGATTGAGAGGATAGGATGAAAGGGGGCGCGGTGAGAGAAGACAGATCGCCATTGAAGGATGCGATGGACTATTAGAGCACGTCGCAAAGACGAGGTCAGCTACTGGCATCGCTGCAACCACGCAAAAGCATGGAGTTTAGACATCTATATCTACCTTGAGGAAGGCGGACCAGCTGCCGCTGTTGGCCTGCGCGGCTGGGGCTGTAGAAGAGGACATGATTGTATATCTGAGCCGTGTATAAAAAAAAGTCGGGGAGTGAAAAGGGAGGGTTCGCGACAGGACAGGAGATTTCGAAGGCGGTCTCGTGTACAGTAGCAGTAGGTACCTGTTAGCGTAGCAGTTGACGAGGGGCCGATTGTGGATTGCGGGGTTGTAAAAGCAGGGGGAGGACAGCTAAAAGTTCAGAACGAGCCAGACAGATGGAGCTCGCGGGGCCGGCCTGGGTGATGCACTGCAGATGAAGGGTTCGATTAGGGTCTACTATTAGTTTATCGATGACGGAGGCGACGTAATTCCAGTGTTGGATACAAAGAAGGGCTCCAAGCTTGGCGAGATCTTGTAACGGTGAATCTGACTGAGTTACAGTACCCGTCTTGTAGTAGTTAGAAGTGGGACTATCGTAGGTTTCAAAACCGAAAGGGGTAATGGGCCGATCAGATAGAAAGACAAGAGTTGAGAAGAGTCAAGATCAAGAATATGATGAAGGAGAGATTACTTTGGCCAAATGTTGAGCTTCTATTGCTTTCTTGGCTACAGATCACGAGACCTAGTCTATCTTAATCTCACCAAAATCTTGCCTTTAGTAGCCCGAATTGAGAGGCGCCCATCATGGACTCTTTCGTTGAGCACTGCCTCGCCCATCATCACTCGAGCCTATTACGTCAACACTTGAACGCCGTCATGACGTCCCGTATTCGTATGCACCAATAGGTTATTGTTGTTGTATGTTAGTGGTTAGGCCGAGAGGTCCTCCCTCCTCACGGCTAATGGCGTTTTATTAATTAATTAATTAATTAGTTAGTCAATCTCACCATCACGTCACTTCTTTGAATATTGTTCAAACGGCGCGGTCGTTGGTGGTCGTTATGTCCTCCGTGCCGCTTAATCAGTAAGTAATCTCGCATGGATGTCATGACTTTTCGTATCCGTAACTGTAACTCGGTTGTCTCTCGCTTTTGATAAGACTACATGGGACATTGCTAGGGCTGAAAAGCTTAGCTATTGCACAGCACAGCACGTGGATCCGGATATAGAGGAATGAATATGCATGGGTTTATGCCAACATGCATACAGCACTCGGTGATACATAACTTACACTCCGTCCATGACTTTTGTTCACGGCTCATGCGAGAGCGATCAGTCATAATGCATGGTACAAACAAACACTAAACATGAATAATATCTCGCCAAGTTACAGCAATTCTTTTGTGGTATCTCATGAAGCCCAAGCCCAAACCCATATTACATACAGTTCTGCCGTTCAGCCCTTACTCCATCCATTAAATCATACCTCATCGCCAAGTATTACACCAAAGTCAATTATACTTCCATCCCTCAATCAACTCCGCGACCTTATCCAGACCTCTCTGCATGGCCATGCCAGCTGGTGTGCCCTGTCGATAACCTCCGGTTCCATCTCTGTCCTCCCAGGCATCCCACACTGCGTTTGCGTGGTACTGTCGAGCACCCTTCTCAAGCAACATCCTCACACCCCCGATGTGCCCGCGAAGAGCCGCGTAGTGAAGAGCTGTAGCGCCCCGATCGTTCTGATGATTCACGTCAATTCCCTGCTGTAGCAAGAGCTTGAGGGTTGCTTGGTTTGCCGATGCCTGGAAAAGAATCGTATCACCATGTGTTGTTAAAGCTTGCGTATTTGCACCGAGTCGAAGAAGCAACCGGACTGTCGAGATGTGCCCATGAGATGCAGCAACGGAGAGAGGTGTCCGACCAGGGAAGATGGTGCTCTCGAGGGAGGCACCATAGGACACAAGCCGCAGTAAGATCTCGTCTCGTGCGTGCTGAGCGGCAACGTGAATCGGGGTCGTCTGCGGCTCGGGTACCAGATATTCCTTACTGCCCTTCGAAGGAAACATGGATGACACCTGCATACCCGCTCCCAGCTCTAGGAGTGCCGTGACAAGGTCAACATCGCCCATCTTGACTGCGTGAGAAAGAATGCTCATCCCGTCCGGTCCTACTCGCTCGACATCAGCACCGAGTCTGATCAGGCGAAAAATACTTTGCGCATTGCCAAGCTTGGCTGCCACAAGTAGAGGGGTTTCGCCTGTCTTATCCAAGATATCAACAGGTGCGCCTGCATCAAACAACAGCTGGAGGATGTGAGGCTTGTCCTTGTGAGCTGCCATATGCATCGCTGAGTACCCAGAGTGTCCCTGAGTGGCTGCTGGATCGGCTCCATGGGCGATGAGATATCGCACAGTTTCGTCATGCCCTGTGGATGCTGCTGCTAGTAAAGGTGTGTTTCCGTTGCGGCTGGGCAGATTAGGGTCTGCACCGCTATCTAGAAGAACAGCAGTGATAGCTGTGCATCGAGAGTTGATGGCCATCGTGAGGGGAGTATGCTCGCGGAGTACGCGATCAACGTTTGCTCCTCGAGATATCAACACCTGGGAGAACTCTTGGTTGCGCATTGCGATAGCCATGTGGAGGGCTGTCTTTCCATCCGGTAATCGCACCTCTAGATCTGCACCAGCTTGTACGAGCTTTGTTGCCGCAGACCAGCGACTATGCTGAATCGCCACGAGAAGTGGTGTCTGGCCATTATAGTCGACAAGGTTGATATCGGCGCCTGCGTCGATGAGGACTGGGAGCGTTTCATCGTCGATAACATCTGAAGCGGCCGAGAGGTGTAGGGCTGAGCATCCATCGTTATCGATCGCATTGACGCGGGCTTTCATGTGAATCACAAGAGTTGCAAATTGTTCTGAAAACCCGCATCTGATCCCTCTCATCAATGCTGTATGACCATCAGTAGTTGGCTCGTCAACATCGGCACCAGCCACGATGAGAAAAGCAGCGATCAGCATATGTCCTTTGTCGAAAGCGCGATGCAGCGGGGAGAGCATTGAACCAGCCAACATTATGTTGGGGTCTGCGCGTTCGAGAAGGATATGAAAGACAGCAGTCTCATCGCTCCGCTCAATGGCATTGTGCAGTTCATTTGCGGCATCCTTGGTTCTCACGTAATTGACTCCTGGTGGTGGTACAAGGGTATCAAGTAGGATCTGGATCTCGGCAGAGTCACTGACTCTAGGTAGCACGACAGATTGTTGGTTTGGCGCTGTGAACTTTCGAGCAAGGCTCCGTAGTGCCTCATCTACTCCAATATCTGGCTCAATCACGCGCCTCCTGTTGTCATTTTCCCCAAAGTTATAACCGGCACTACTCAGAGTTAGCCTTGAGCCAGCGCACTTAGAAAAGAAGGTTACTTGCCGTGTCGCAGCATTGAGGAGGGTATGGAGAGACGCTTGGTGAGTGCGTAGCCGCGCAAGATACTCTTTCAATGCTGCTTCATTCCAGACGATGATAAGCTGCGGTTCGCTGAGGTGAATGCCGCTGTCCCTATCTGGAGCCTTTATGCGTTTCAGTGCTGCCCTCAGCTCATGCACATCTTTCGAAACGGAATAGACGAATTCGTTGTTTGATGCCCGAACACTTTCTGTGCCACCTTCAAACGACCGGCTGAGCTCGTGTAACCTGTCAAGCGCATTTGTGATCGCGCGACACTCCTTGGCGAGAGAAGCCAGAGTGACTGGGCTGGTATTGAGACAATTGGAGATACCCCTACACTCCTCAGAAAGTTGCTCGCATATGTCAATCAAATCCTGCAGGTCTGCCTTCTCGACCCGACTCTGAAGTTGATCCATCCTTGGAGGAGAACAAAATTTGGTGGCAGTTGGTCCACTCAGAAATGCCATAGTAGTAGTACAAGCCACCAAACAAGATCAGACTCGAGCAGGAAACTCGGGGGGTAATGTATGATTTGACAGCTGCAAATACTTCAGTAAGCTTGCGGTTCCTGCAGAGAGCGGACCAAGCCCGTGCCTTCGCCTTGCCCGTGCTGAGTTTCGTGCGCAGCAAAGCAGAGCAAAGCAAAGCGAAAGGAAGAGTTGAAGCCTCAACTCAAATCGACTCAGCGCAAGAGAGTGACGATGGCCCGGGCTCTATTTGCTGCACACCGTCGTCACATATTGAGACCAGGCAATCCACAAAGCAAAGTCACAAGAGGCTAAAGAGGTTCCGAAGAAACAGAACGAGTCGGCTTCTAGCCCGGAAGCAAGCCGTGCCCTACTGTAGCCTGTAATTAAGCCAACATCCTTCCATGGATGGTGATTCCTAGCGTTGGGTGCGTGGCAGTTGGTCCTATCGTGTCCTGGGCGTTGGATCTAGCGCAACCGCTCAGTCAAGGATAAGGGGATAAGCCACCCAACTGCCTGGGAGTTAGTTGATCAATACCCAGAACGGCGACAAATAGGGTGCGTTGGTGCTCGAGCCGGCAGATGGGTCTCAACGGTGGCGTCTGCATCTGCATGTTCGTGAGTCGCTCTCTTTGCGTCTTTCATCCAATTTGGCAGTTACGGAGTCTCGAAGCCTTTTTAGCCTTATGGGGAAGTAAAGCCGCTAGGCAGATCCCTGGCTGAAGAAATCTGACCGAGTCTGTTCTGTTGAGCTGAGCGACGTCTTGATTATCATGCTCAATCAGCACTGCTCAGGTAATGCCCCGTCGGAGGATTGTACGCAACGCCCAAACGGTGAGGCGTCGATGGTTTTAGTAGAATGTCAATGCTTAAATGGCGCCTCGTCTGCCCGCGCAATCCATCGTCAACATTGGATCTCCGGAAACCCGTCTGCCCGGTGAGATATCTATGCGATAACCGCCCACCCATTTACAGTAGCGTAGCGCGGATCCATTCGACGGTGGCCACTTGCTTCAGCGGGCGAAAAAGCAATACCGATTAGTTCGTCGTAGGCTGATTCAGAAGATGCAGACCCTGAATTTGATGAGTGGAATTCTGTGTCTCGCCCTGAAAATGCGCCCCTTGGCGTCACACGGGTTCCTGGCTTCTCGCCTTGACCCGGGACGTGCATCAAGAGTTCAGTAATGAATTGCCCTCACTCAGCTTGTTTCAGCCCCATGAGATGGAGCAAACGCCAGTCAGCTCGTTTTCCAACAGAAGAACCCACACAAGAAGTGAAAGATGAGTGGAAGAGTTGCGGATTTGAAGAAAGAGTTTCAGATGCTTCTCGAGACTACGAGCAACCATAATTGAAACTAGCTTGAATTAGAATGTCTCGCATTCAAAGTCTAATCCTTCGTAAACTTTCTCTTGATATCGTCATTGCCTGGGGGCTTCTGTCGTGCAGTGATGGATCGGGACTACCAGGATCAAGCTGGGGAATCTCTGCAAGGATCCAGTTGTCAGCGGAGTCAGAGTTTATCCGGACTTTCCGGATACAAGCAGCCGGACCTTAGCTCCGGCTAACTCTTTAGTTGCGTCACTGAAGTCGAAACAGAACTAACCATTACTCACGATATTTTTCCTACGACTAACGCGACTCGACTCGACTCGATCCTGTTTCAGATCCGCCACGAGCCACGTTCTTGACTTACTACGCTAGCAACTATTTCGAATTTCTAATCAGCCGAACTTAAACATCCGCCCAATCTGGCTGGGATACTCTGGAAGGGTTCGCTGGACGCTCAGAAACAGAGCTCCTCGCGGCCGAAGAATACCATGACTCAACCATCTACACAACCTCAGCTTACTCCACAGTTCTGTTTCTCGTATGGCACTTTGCGAGGTATGTTCGAGTCAGAAGTACCGGCTTTTGGTATACCCGACTGATCATTTTACTCTTTCTTTTCTTTCCAGACTTTCTTCGACTTTCAAGATCTTCCATCGATGATTCAATCACACAGAATCTCAATGCACTTGTGACACCGTCTCGATCCGGATTTGATCCCTCGTCCACATCGCAACGCGTCCCAAGACCAACCTCAAAACAGATTGATTCCCAGTCATGCTTAGATTTCAAGGAGAGAGTGCTTTTTCCTTCCTGGGAGACCCGGACTGAAGTACTAAATTACTGCGCTCTCGTAGCGGCAAGCCCGGACCCTGATGACCCGGACCGAACCATCAGGGAATTAGAGAAAGAACAAGACCGCGATAGAATCGTCGATGAACGATTAGATCCATATTCCGGTAGATTCTTCCCACGTGAAGCACGTACCGAGCGCCTGGCTTCGCTTGTAAGACAAGAGAGAGGCGTGGAGGGTATCGTACGACATAGAACATGGGAGGTCGTACAGCAACGATGCGGGGGCGACCCTTTTGAAAGCTGGGAAGACACAATCAGCAAATGGAGGAAAACCAAAAAATCGAAAACGAATGTATAATTAATTTATGATATCACGAAACACCACTCAGACCCTCCAACGACCATTGGAGTGCGAAACCTGCAGGAGAAGGACTATAGAATAGAGACTTGCTGTAGGATATTAACGCCTCTTGTACAAAAGTAATATAAAATTCTCAAATAGTCCCTCTAATCTTGTACTAACTTACCTAAATATCTTCATCATAATGTGTAAAAGTAATAGAAATTCTTCATATAACCATACTAATCCTATGCTAACTTACCCAAATCTCTTCATCGTTTAGTATAAACGGCTCAAGCTTTGGTATCTCTCGTAGCATGCCCTGTGTGCCAAAAGATTACCATTTTAATGATCATTTCGCAATAGAAATGCACTCTCTATGTAGTCTTGAGCTGTTTTCATGAAATTATGAGTTTATTTACTGAATATCATATTCTCTACCAACTCTCATGAGGCTTCCATCCATGCTGTCATGGGTCCTAAACTGCCCCGCCAAAACCACCATCTCCGCATAACCCAGCAACCCACCACAGGCAGCCTCCGAGAAATTGCCGGTCTACCGTAGCAATTCCTGTCCACATCATTTCGACCCTAAGTCGTATGGTACAGCACCTTCAGCTTTACACGACATCTCTCCACAATCGCCGGTCAGGGAAGCCGCCTCTTTACCCTTCGTTACCCTCCTGTCATCATCTCCTGGCGAGGTTTTTGTCTCGTCAAAGCTTCTCTGTACCGCTTCCTCCTCCTAGCCCACACACCCCTCATTCGATCCTGCTGGGAGCTTATAATCCTCGCCGACAACGGACGCCGGCCGCAATTAACTAGCTCACGACTTCCCTACGGTTCCAAGACTAGAACTGTTCCCTATAATCACGATGCCGCAACCTCTTGCCTCCAAGGAGGCCTCGCTCTTCCGCTCCGTTATTCGATACTATGAGGACAAGCAATATAAGCGTGGTCTAAAGTCGGCCGAGCTTATTCTCAAGAAGCATCCGAAACATGGAGACACCACTGCGATGAAGGCCTTGATTTTGAACTCTCAGGGCAAAACGGAAGAAGCCTTTGCATTGGGAAAGGAAGCTTTAACCATGGATATGAAGTCGCACATCTGCTGGCACGTGTATGGCCTGCTGCACCGGGCAAACAAGAATTTCGAGGAGGCCATCAAGGCTTACAAGTTTGCTCTGCGACTAGAGCCTGAGTCGGCACAAATTCAGCGCGATCTGGCTATTCTGCAAATTCAATGCCGCGACTACCAAGGATACATCCAAAGTCGAACCGCCATGCTCCAGGCCCGACCCCAGATGCGCCAAAGCTGGACTGCGCTCGCCATTGCTCACCACCTTTCAGGAAACCCTGCTGAAGCCGAGAAGGTCATGAATACATATGAGGAAACTTTGAAGGCGAAGCCCTCGAAATTCGACAATGAGCACTCAGAAGCAATTATGTACAAGAACTCTCTAATTGCGGAGCAAGGGGACTACGAGCGTGCACTCGAGCATCTCAACACGGCTGCCAAGCAAAACCTCGATCGATTGGCTGTCATGGAGGCTCGCGCCGAGTATCTTCACAAGTTGGACAAGAAGGAGGAAGCTGCAAAGGCCTACCGGGCTCTCCTTGACCGCAACTCGGAACACCCAGCATACTACCAGAAGCTCTTGGAGGTCATGGAGGTATCAGAGGACGATTACAAGGCTCGAAAGGCTGTCTACGACGAGTATGCGGAGAAGTCCCCTCGTTGCGATGCTGCGCGCCGGTTGCCACTGGACTTTTTGTCAGGTAAATCCAATCAAGACACTAGCCAGCAACCAGTACTAACTCGTTAATAGGCGACGACTTCAAGCAGGCTGCTGAGGCCTATTTGACCCTGATGCTTAACAAGGGAGTGCCATCGACCTTTGCCAATCTTAAGCATCTTTACTCCGACTCATTCAAGAAGGACACCCTCCGTGAACTGGCCGAGAGCTATTTGAACTCGCAGGGTGCAGATTCGGAAAGTAAGGATAAAGGAGAAGCGGCAGCACTGTACTACCTCGCACAGCACTACAACTACCATCTCAGCCGGGACTTGACAAAAGCCATGGAGTACGTCGAGAAGGCAATCGAGAAGGACCCCAAGAGCGTTGATTTTGCCATGACCAAGGCACGAATCATCAAGCATGGCGGAAACATACAAGAAGCCTCCAAGGCAATGGATCGAGCCAGGAAGCTCGATCTTAAGGATAGATACATCAACACAAAGGCAGCCAAGTACCAGCTTCGCAACAACGAAAACGACAAGGCTCTCAAGACAGTCGGACTTTTCACTCGCGCAGAAACTGTTGGCGGTCCCTTGGCGGATCTTTTGGATATGCAGAGTGTCTGGTTCTTGACAGAAGACGGCGAGGCATATGCTCGACAAGGCAATGTTGCCCTTGCTCTTAAGCGATTCCAGCAAATCTTCAACATCTTTGAGGTGTGGCAGGAGGACCAGTTCGATTTCCACAG